TTTAAAAGCAATCATGTATGTGTGTATATATAAATAAATTTTTATTTTTTACAAAAAAAAAAAAAAACCAAAACTTCATTTATCAAATTGTCAAAATGGGTTTATGTAATAATCCTAAAAAACTTGATATGGACATGTAAAGGAGAAAAAAAAAACGTGGTAGTGAAGAGGACAATCATGATTTTCTTTGCTATACATGAAGATAAAAAGATTGAAAACATATATATAAGGCTATACTTTGTTCTCATAAAATATTCTAAAGGTTGAGATCAAACTCTTAATTGAAGCATCCCTCAACTCACAACCCCAAACCATATAGCAAATTTGGAAGCCCCAATTCCTTCTCGGCATGGAAGTCAAAGCTTCTTAATATTTGGTTTGTCATGGCCCAATGAAGCCGAACATGATCAAGTACTCTAGTTGTATGGTCATCGATTGACTCGTTGTCGTCAAAGGATACATAGGCTCATGCTGTGAAATCCATAAATCTTTCCACTTCTTTGATGAAACAAGTGTTCGTACTACATATTTTGTTGGGGGAGAGTTAAGAATCTTTTCATGAAGTGGATCATGCGGTTCGCTTATTCACCAGCTTTCTCTTTCATCTAATGTGAAATAAGCAAACTTACTGTAAGTTCTTATGGTAAAAAAACCAAAGGAAAAAAAAATGAAATGAACTAAACATTAAGAGAAAATGTTGGATTGCTACAACAAAATGGATGAGAAAACATTTACCTTCCAAGAGAATTAGGTGCATATATTTCCTATCTTCTTGAATTGCCATGAACAACAATCAAATTCAACAATGAGCAGACAAGAAGTTTTGTAATCCACAACCATTTTAAGATCGCTAAGAGAAAAACTTTGAACTCTAGCATCTTCTCGTCCTACAAATTTTGTCTATGTTCATACTAATGGTCGGAAATTGTGTTTATATAGACAGTGAAAAATAAATACACATGAATTTTTAGGACTAAAAATATAATTATCCTAAAGATTTTTTTAAAATAACTTACGATGTTTAGAGATTTTTACTAAATTACTTACGAAATATAATAATTACCTTGAAGATTTTTATAATGATCATAACTTTAGAAGATTTTGCTAGATAACTTATGAAATATTCATTTTATGCATTTTTATATTTTTAAATATAAATTATTAAAATTTTTAAATCAAAAAATTTTGCAATTAAGATGCCATTTTATATTTTTTTATGCCTAATTAAAGGTATTCATGGATCAGACTAAGTTGGGTTCAAGCTAAACTCGTGCTTGGTATTAATAGTTTATATATTTGTTTAAGCCCGGCCCAATCCAAAATTTCAAGCTTCAAATTTTTTTCAAGTTCAATCTAAATTAAAAAAATAAATCTTAAACTCACCCATTAAACTTAATTTATATAATAAAAATTTAAAAAAAATGATTAAATTAAGTTTAATAGATAAATTTAATTCACATATATATAAAATTAAAAATAAAAATTATATATGTAAAAATAAATATAATAATTATATAAAATAAATTTTAAATTTAATAAAATATATATTTTATTTTAATTTTATATAAATGTGAATTAATTTATATATAATTCACATATACATATATGTAAAAATAAAAAATTTATATATATGTAAATTTCGGCCGAGTCGAACTTGAGTTTTAAATTTTTTATCTAAGATTCAATTTAAAATTTAAACGGACCTAAAAATTATGCTCCAACTTGTTTAATTAATTTTAATTTTTTGTCCAAACTTTATTAAAATTGAAGCAAACTTTCAAACTTGGGCGAATAGCCCTACTCTTGAACAGATTTAATCATATTGTGACAAATTAACTGACTTTCTCTTGAAGTATATTTTTTTCTTCCTTTGATATGAAAATTTGTAGCGTTTTTTTTTTTTTCTTAAGGTTAAAAACCCAAGCCTCCAAAGTTCTATTTACCATTAATTCATGGAGAACATTTGCTTACTTTAACATATAATTATTAGAGAAAGATAATAGAACATTACAGCAAAAAATTAACATCACACCAAACGATGGTTGATAATATGACACCCTTCATAATATAGAAATGCACAAATATATGAGCTTTTGGATAACAAATTTTAAAAAATTTTGATATAAAAACATTTTAAAACACATCAATTCACAATATTAATCGAGACTAGTGATCTTGATGCATGTTTTTAACAACCTATTTTCTAAATAAAGCTTTCTTTTTTCTTTTTTTTTCTATCCAACTCTCTTCTCATTTTTTTAGATTGATTTCACTTAGCTTTTCAAGAATAAGGAATTTATATATAATTTTTTTTTAGTAATGAACCAAAGAGAAACTCTCCATCAGTCTGTTCCAAGGGAAATGCCTAACATTTTGATGGTCAATATATAAGGGTATTTAGGCCTAATATATGCGTGTTGGAATACTAGTGAGCTACATTTTTAAAAGCAAATAGAAACTTAAAAAAAAGCGTGATGTCAATGGGGTTTTTGGATAATATCATAATCATAATTAATCCTGATAAGCTTTAAGCTCCTTTTATTTATATATTTATTAATTTAAAAGTTGATATGATGAGAGAGTATATATATATTAAGAATGTAATCATGTGAAGATGTAACTTTTGTCTACAAGATTGATATTTTTACCATATGATATGATGATCCTAATACCATATTTGTAAATTAAAACCAAGATAAGTGCTGAGAATGTCAATGCTCAAAATCAATTACAATTAATTTCACAAAGTAAAACCCCTTTTTACCATCTTTTTCCCTAGTTTTGGTTTATCAAAGTGTTTCAAAGCATCAAGAAATTTCCCACCAACAATCTTGAAAAGAAATTAGCAAATATTAGTTATGGAGCTACTATCTTCTTTCAACTTGTTGATTGAGAGAAAAATTAAGCTTGAAAATTTTAAATATAATAATTTTTAAACATCACATAATAATATAATGCGAAAATTTTATAAAAAATTACATAAAATTAATACAATTTAAAATTGACAAATCATATAAAAATTTGATAAAAATTAAAGAAAAAATACATTTCATATTTAACATATTAATATAAATTATAATATAATAATTTTTATATTTTAAACATATTTAATAAAATACCATACGAATAGATGTATTATTTAATTTGTAAAGATATATAGATAGATATCTATACTGGAATATATGCCATCTCTCTTTTAAAAACGAGAAATGACATTGACATAATAGGAGGATAGCATCACAGCAAGCCAAGCCCCTTCATTATCAAGATTCCTTCCGACTCTTCCTCAAGAGGCGTGTGCTTCTCTCATGCCTACCTGGGCCCCCCGTACACGAAACAGTACCCTCTCCCTTCTTTCCTCCTCCTATCTATAAAATACATGATCATGCAAAGCTTTGGAGATATAGCAATCCATTGCAGGCTATAACAACTTAAGAAACTCAAAAAACCTTCAGCTCTCAGTTCTCACGTTCAAAAACTTTCCAAGTTCACCATGTCTAACAAGTGAGGCAACTGTGACTGCACTAACAAGAGCCAATGCATGTAAGTAATCGATAATCTATCCATGATAAACTTCCTTCGATGTGTGGTTTGAGATTATGTTATTGTTTTAAGTTATGTTCATTTTTGCCTTGTTGCCATCAGGCTGAACAAAAACTTTTCAATAGCAGTCATTTTATCTTTTCCTACCATGTTTCCTCAGGGACAACGTGTGGAAACTTGAACTAATTGTTATCTTTAATCTCTTTGTAAGTTTGAAATCAAGTATCATTGAAACTAAAGGCTTTTTTTTTTTTTGCTTTTCTACGCTTACAGGAAGAAGGGAAACACCTTGGTCACTGAGACTGAGAAGAGGTATATGCTCTGCACTTCACTCTGATATCTGCAAAGAAATAAATCAATAATAAACATAAAATTTCGTATGCTACAAAGATCTGAAACATTTCTTAGATTTCAAATAAGCAATCAAAAACTTTCATATGCATTTAGTTTTTAGATATAGCTTTTATAATATTTCGATTAAAATTTTGGTTAATTCGATTTTTGAGCTAAATTAATTAAAAGTTAAAATTTTTATAAAACTATTTTTAAAAACCAACTGAAATTAATTCAATTATTGACCAATTAACCAAATTAAATTAGTGCAATAAATTAAAATCAAATTATGAACACCCCTAATTTTGAGATGCTGTTAGAAAAGAAAATTAGTTTTATTTGAATGGGTATAGAAAAGAAAGAAAAAGAAAAGACTTTAAGCAATGACAGGTCTATGGATATGGCAGACTTTGGACCTGTGAAATGGATAGTAAACTTAAACTGGCTATCTTTTGGGCTGAACTCCCAAAAAATAAAAATGTCGAGACTAGATTTTGGCTCAACAAATGACAAACAATTAAAGGTTTAATGCATCTGAATTTTATTCTATGTAAAAAGAGTACACAACCCATAATTTTTAATTTCTACTTCATATATAGTTTAAATTAAATTTCACTTCATTCGCATAATTGATTTTATGCATACTAATTTCAATCTTTTATTTTATTCCCCAACATAATATCATGATTTGATTAGATAATTGAATTTTTATTTTTCAAAAGTATTCATTTATGCGTGTATATATAAATAAATTTTTATTTTTTACCAAAAAAACATAAACCAATGCTTCATTCATCAAATTGTCAAAATGGGTTTGATTTTTTATGTAATAATCCAAAAAAACTTGACATGGACATGTAAGGGAGAAAAAAAAAAAAAAGAAAGGTGGTAGTGAAGAGGACAACCATGATTTTTCCTTGCTATACATGAGGATAAAAAGATTGAAAACGTATATATAAGGCTATACTTTGTTTTCATAAAATCTTCCAAGGTTGAGATCAAACTCTCCAATTAGAACATCCCTTGACACAAAGCCTCAAACCATATAGCGAATTCGGGAGCCCAAATTTCTTTTCGGCATGGAAGGTGAAACTTCTTAATATTTCATTTGTCATGGCCCGATAAAACAGAACTTGATCAAGTAGTCCAATTGTATGATCATTAATTGACTCTTTATTGTCAAACGATACATAAGCTCGTGCTGTGAAATCCATAAACGCAACAGTACCCTCTCCCTTCTTGCCTCCTCCATCTATAAATACATGATCTTGCAAAGCTTTGGAGATGTAGCAATCCATTGCGAGCAATAACATGTTTAGAAACTCAAAAAAACCTTCAGCTCTCAGTTCTCACGTTCAAAAACTTTCCAAGTTCACCATCTCTGACAAGTGCGGCAATTGTGACTGCGCTGACAAGAGCCAGTGGGTGTAAGTAATCGATAATCCATCCATGAGAAACTTCATTCTAGGGTTGTGAGTGGTTTGAGATTATGTTATTGTTTTAAGTTGTTATGTTCATTTCTGCCATGTTACCGTCAGGCTGAACAAAAACTTTTCAATAGCAGCCATTTTATCTTTTCCTACCATGTTTCCTCGGGGACAACCTGTGGAAACTCAAACTAATTGTTATCTTTAAGCTCTTTGGGAGTTTGCAATCAAGTATCGTTGAAACTAAAAGCTTTTCTATGCTTACAGGAAGAAGGGAAACACCTTGGTCAATGAGACTGAGAAGAGGTATACTTTCTGCAATTCACTTGATATCTGCAAAGAAACAAACCAATAATAAACATAAAATTTCATATATGCTACTAAGACCTGAGCCATTCCTTAGATTTTCAAACAAGCAATCAAAAACTTCTTGATCTGATGCATGATTTTCTACAGTCATATTCTCCGAAGTACTTATCCAGAGAGGCAAAAAGAACTATGTTTTTCACAGTCGATGAATCGAGAATTAAGAAACTTAATTTAAAGTATACATATGCTAATTGTAATCTGCATTGTGTTCTTTCTGTGCAGCCACATCAGCACTGTTGTCGTTGAGACTCCAGCTGAAAATGATGGCAAGTGCAAGTGCGGAGGCTGCAGCCGCACAAACTGCACATGTGGTGCTCATTAAGCAAACATAAAATAATAATGTTGCAGTTCATGGCGATATAATGGCCTAAAAAACAATGAAACTTGGGTTGAATGGTTTGTCTTTTGTTGTCTGTCAATAATGGTTTGTCTTTTGTTGTCTGTCAATCGTATGTTTGTCTTTTCAAAATTTCAAATTAAATTATTCAAAATCGAATTAATCGAATTTTGTTATTTTATTTTTATTAATTATATCAATTTTTTAATTTTAAAAATTAATCGACTGAAATTAATTTGATTGATTCAATTAATTTTTTTGATTAATCAAATAATAAAATTTATTGAGTTAAATTTTATTTTAAAATTTTTTGTTTCATATGTGAAACAAATTAAATAACATCATCTAACAAAAATATTCAAACATCAAAGTATTAAATTAAAAACTCTTGAAATAAATTTGATAATTTCATATATTTTTAGTTTTATATATAGATTTTATAGTATTTCGATTAAACTTTCGGTTAATTTAATTTTTGAATCAAATTAATTGAAAACTAAAATTTTTTAAAATTATTTTTAATAACTAATCAAAATTAATTCAATGACTAACCGACTAACCAAATTAAATCAATTCGGTTGATTAATTTGGTTTTGAACACCCCTACTTTGAGATGCTATTGGAAAGAAAATTTCTTTTATTTGAATGGGTATCAATAAGAATGAAAAGAAAAGACTTTAAACAATGACAGACTTGTGGATATATATAGCAGAAATATTTTTTAGGCTGAATTCGCGAATAAAGAAAAAGGCCAAGACTAGATTTTGGCTCAACATATGGACTAATAATTAAAGGCCCAATTTATCTGAATTTTATTTTATGTTAAAAAAAAGACAACTCATAATTTTTAATTTCTACTTCATATATTGTTTAAATTAAATTTCACTTCATTCACATAATTGATTTTATGTATGCTAATCTAAATATTTTTTCCCAAATAATATCATTATTTGGTTTGATAAGTGTTTTATTACTTTTTTTAAAAGCATTCATGTATGCTTGTGTATATAAATATTTTTTTTTTTTTTTTGAAAAAAACATACACCAATACTTCACTTATAAAATTGTCAAAATGGGTTTATTTTTTATATAATAATCCTAAAAAACTTGATACGGACATGTAAAGGAGAGAAAAAAAAATAAGTGGTAGTAAAGAGGACAACCATGATTTTTCTTTGCTATACAAGGATTAAGAGATTGAAAACTTATATGTAAGGCTATACTTTGTTCTCATAAAATCTTCAAAGGTTGAGATCGAACTCTTCAATCAAACTATCCCTCAACACACTGCCCAAAATGATATAGCAAATTCTGAAGCCCCAATTTCTTCCCGGCATGGAAGTTTAAGCTTATTAATATTTGGTTTGTCATGGCCCGATGAGGCAGAACATGATCAAGTACTCCAGTTTTATGATCATCCATTGACTCATTGTCATCAAAGAATACGTATGCTCATCCTGTGAAAGCCATAAATCTTTCCACTTCCTTGACGAAACAAGGGTTCGTACTGCAAATTTTGTAGGGGGGAAGGTTGAGAATCTTTTCACGAAGTGGATCATGCAAATCGCTTATTCAACAACTTTCCCTTCATCTGATATGAAATAAGCAAATTTACTGTAAGTTATTATAGTAAAAAAAAAAAAACAAAGGATAAAAATTTGAAATGAACTAAAACATTAAGAGAAAATGTTGGATAGCTACAACAAAATGAAAGAGAAAATATTTACCTTCTAAGAGAAGTAGGTGCATATATTTCCTATCTTCTTGAATTGCCACGAACAACAATCAAATGCAACAATGAACAGACAAGAATTCTTGTAATCCACAAACATTTTAAGATCGCTAAGAGAAAAACTTTGAACTCTAGCATCTTCTCATCCTACAAATTTTATCTATGTTTATACTAATGGCCGAAAACTGTGTTTATATAGACAGTGAAAAATAAATGCACATAGATTTTTAGGACTAAAAATATAACTATTCTAAAGATTTTCTTTAAATAACTTACGATGTTTGGAGATTTTTACAAGATTACTTACGAAATATAACAATTATCTTGAAGATTTTTACACTAATCATAATTTTAAATGATTTTATATTTTTTAAATATATATTATCAAAATTTTTAAATTAAAAAATTCTATAATTAATGTGCCATTTTATATTTTGTTATACCTAATTAGAGGTGTTTTTGAGTCAGATCGTGTTGGGTTCGGCTTGAGCTCATACATGATTTTAATAGCTTATATGTTTGTTTAAGCCCAACACAAAATTTCATGCTTTAAAATTTTTTCAAGTTCAACCTAAATTTTAAAAAATAAATCCCAAACTCACCCATTAAACCTAATGTATATAATAAAATTAAAAAAAATGTAATTAAATTAAGTTTAATAGAATTATATTTAATTCACATATATATATAAATTAAAAATAAAATTATATATGTAAAATTTAAAAATTAAGATTAATAAAATATATAATTTTGTTTTTATTTTTATATAAATGTGAATTAATTTATTTATAATTCATATATACATATATATAAATAAAAAATTTATATATATGTGAATTCAGTCCAGGCCAAATTTGAGTTTTAATCCAAGATTCAATTCGAATTTAAACGGATTTAAAAATTGTGATCAAACCCGTTTAATAAGTTTTAATTTTTTATCAATACCCTCTCAAAATTTAAATGAACTTTCGAGCTTGGATGAATAGTCCAACTCTTGAATAAATCAAATCATATTGTGACCGATCAACTGACTTTCTCTTGAAGTTTTTTTGGTTATATGAAAATTTATAGTGCTTTTTTTTAAAGGTTAAAAACCCAAGCTTCTAAAGTTCTATTTACCATTATTTCATGGAGAACATTTGCTTCCCTTAACGTATAATTATTAGATAAAGATAATAGAGCATTACAGCAAAAAATTAATACCACACCAAACAATGATTGACAATATGTCACCTTTCATAATATAGAAATGCACAAATATATGGGCTTACTCTTACATAAGAAGATGCCTTTGGATAACAATTTTCAAAAAAATTTTGATATAAAAACATTTTAAAATACATCAATTCACAATATTAATTGAGACTAGTGATCTTGATGTATGTTTGTATTAATCTATTTTTTAAATAAAGCTTTTTATCTTTTTTTTTTCCTATCCAACTTTCTTTGCACTTTTTTAGATTGATTTCACCTAACTTTTCAAGAATAAAGAACTTATATATAATTTTTTTTTAGTAATGAGTCAAAGAGAAATTCTCCTTCGGTCTTTTCCAAAGGAAATGCCTAACATTTGGATGGTCAATATATAAGGGTATTTGTGCCTAATATACACATGTTGGAATACTAGTGAGCCACATTTTAAAAGCAAATAGAAAACTGAAAAAAAAAAATGCATGACCTCAATGAGGGTTTTGAGATAATATCATAATTAATCCTATAAGCTTAAAGCTCCATTTATTTATATATTTATTATCTAAAAAATAAAGTTGATGTGACGAGAGAATACATATATATATATATATATATATATAAATGAGGATGAATCAATTTTTATAATGTAATTCATTTTTAGTTTTACATATTTTTTTAATTATTGATTTTAATAAATTTAAGAGATGAGATTAAATCATTATTTTTTATTGTTACTTGTCTTTCTTTTTTTTTTAAATCTTTTAAAATTAATGATTACAAAATATATAAAACTAAAAAAAAATTATTGTGTAATTAAATCAATCCCTCTCATATATATATATATATATATATATATATTAAGACTGTAATCATGTGAAGATGTAACTTTTTGTCTACAAGATTGATATTTGTTATGATCCTAATATCATATTTGTAATTAAGACCAAGATAAGTGCTAGGAATGTCAATGTTCAAAATCAATTACATTTAATTTTACAAAGTAAAACGCCTTTTTACCATCTTTTTCGCTAGTTTTGGTTTATCAAGTGTTTCAAAGCATCAAGAAATTTCCTAACAACTATCTTGAAACGAAATTCTCCTTGGAGAATCTGAAATAGATCTCTCCATGTTCTCTTGTCAAATTTTGTTTTAGAGCTACTATCTTTTTTCGACTTGTTGATTGAGAAAAATATTAAACTTGATAATTTTAGACATGATATAATAATATAATATAAAATTAATTTACAAAAAATATGAAAGCAATATAGTTTAAAATTAACAAAAATCATATATAAATTTATTAAAAATAAAAAAAAATATATTTTATATTTAATGTATCAACACAAATTACAATATAATAATTTTTATATTTTACATATATTTAATAAGATATAATACGAACATATAAGTTAATAAATTTTATAAAGATAGATATCTATACTTGTATATATGCCATCTCTTTTTCAAAAACGAGAAATGATATTGACACCAGAGGAGGATAGCAAGCCAAGGCCCTCCATTATCAAGATTCCTTCTGACTCTTCCTCGAGAGGCGTGCTTTTCTCTCATGCCTAAGCCCCCCATGCACGAAACGGTACCCTCTCCCTTCCTACCTCCTCCATCTATAAATACATGATCATGCAAAGCTTTGAAGATATAGCAATCCATTGCAAGTTGTAACAACTTTAGAAACTCAAAAAACCTTCAGCTCTCAGTTCTCACGTTCAAAAACTTTCCAAGTTCACCATGTCTGACAAGTGCGGCAACTGTGACTGCGCTGACAAGAGCCAGTGCGTGTAAGTAATCGATAATCCATCCATGATAAACTTCCTTCTAGGGTTGTGTGTGGCTTGAGATTGTGTTGTTGTTTTAAGTTATGTTCATTTCTGCCATGTCACCGTCAGGCTGAATAAAAACTTCTCAATAGCAGCCATTTTATCTTTTCCAACCATGTTTCCTCAGGGACAACCTGTGGAAACTCGAAGTAATTGTTATCTTTAAGCTCTTTGTGAGTTTGCAATCAAGTATCATTGAAACTAAAGGCTTTTTTTTTGCTTTTCTATGCTTACAGGAAGAAGGGAAACACCTTGGTCATTGAGACCGAGAAGAGGTATACTTTCTG